CTAAAAAAATTATTTATGGAAATATGATTTGATGGAAATACGTCATATTTATAATGATTTTTTTTTATGGAAAATTCGAAAAAGAAAGAAAAAGTTTCCGAAATGTCTCCAAAAAATGTTAAATTATTTTAAGTCATGATTCAAAATAAATATTTCCTGAAACCCCATATATTGCTTGCCATCACAGCTCTGTAGATAAATTAATTTAATTTAAGCGAAAGTAGATATGTAATTATTTTGTATTTTTGCATTTCAGTTATTTTGTATTTTTTAATTTTAGTTATTTTGTATCTTATTTGTTTTTATATGAACCTGTATTTCCATTTTCAACAGACAAATTATAAAAAGTTTTTCTAACTTTACAAGATAAAATATAGGTTTTGTTAATTTGTATTTTTTTTTATCTCGCGGAACATTTTGCCAAAAATTTCACTGATTTACAGCCAAAAAACCCAAGAGCGAGACAATTTGATTACTATGTAAAAAAGAAAAAAAGTCGATCATAAAAATTTCTAATATTTGGAGAATCCGTTCACCGATCAAAACAAGTGATATATCAGATAAAAGCTAATTAAATTTTTATTAAAATTAAACGTACACTTACTTATTTACAAAAATTAAAAACAAAAAAAAATATATATGCTTTTTTGCAAAAAAAAAAAAACAAATACACATACATATGAGAAATTGACTTTCGAACATTTTTTTTCTTTCCTTAAAACTAATACCAACCAAAAAGATATAAAGAATAAATTAAATAAAGTCCATGTGGATTTTCGAACTCATCGACCACTTTTACATGGGAATTGGATGGTTTGGTTCTTGGGTAAAAAGTCATTAGTTATTTGTAAACCTGTATTTTATAAAAATTTTTATTTTGTTTACTATTAATCTTTTTATTTTTGTTGTTTTAAATTTTTTATATATTTTTATTTTAAGTTTTTTTGTTTTTTTATACACATAAAACTTTTTTTATAGTACATAGTTAAATTTTTATACAGTTATTTTTTTAATATTAATACATATGCATATATAGTTTTATATTATTTTTTTTACGTTTTATATTGTTTTTTTCGAAAACTTCCAATAGCATTTTCAACCAATAAAAAAGTTATTTTGTCATTGATATTTTAAAATAAATCTACGCAAAACGTGCATAAGTTGATATTTTGAAATTATGAAAATAAAACTAAAGCTACAAAAAAAAAAAAAAAAAAAACAGAATGCAAATAAACGAGTACGAATGAAATGAAAAAAAACAACAAAAAACTTATTATGAAACAGATATTAAATGAATTAGGCATAACGAAATGAATTGCATTTATAGGTGAATTTACCACCATAGAATTTACAATTTACTCTCTCAACACAAATTTAGGCTACAGATTACAATACAAGCATACACATAAAATAAATAAATAGTTATAAAATGGCGTTATAAAAAAAAACAAGACAGCAACAACAAAGGATAAGCTAATTAATTACGTGCAGCATAATTCATAACAGGAAAAAAATTATAAAAAAAAAACATAAAAGGAACCTAAAATGCATTAAAAATAATGATTTACATACATATGCACATGCATAAGTATGTGCTGAGCGTGTGTGTGAATGGTGGCGTGTGTAATAACTAATTGAAAAATTAAATTAAATTACTTACATAAATATATTACAAAACAAATCAACTAATGCAAAATAAAATGGAACAAAACTAAATTGGTAAAAGCAGAATGTGGCATAAAATAAAACCTATTATAAAAATATAATAAAAATTAAAATTAACAAAAAAAAATTGTAAAATATGGAGTAATAAAAATTTAAAAATGCATTAAAAGTTCAATGCAAAATGAGTTGTTATCTCAGCGCTACACTGTAAAGAAAGTAAACAGCGGTAAATAAATGGCATGCGTTGCAGAGACCACAAAACAAAAAATTTAGAAATAAAAAATATTTAAGATAAAAAAAATACTATACTTAACTATTAATAGAGTAAATATTATTATTAAAAATAGTATTAAAAAATTTATTTATAAATATTAAAACGAAAACACACACTACAAATCATAGCATGTAATTTTAGTAAGCAAAGTAGCGTGTCAGTAAATTGCGTGAAAAAAGTATATAAAAAATTTAAAAAAAAGTATATATATATATAAAAATAAAATAGCTCTACATACTTACATGCATACATACATACATACGACATACATACATAGTAACTAAAGAGTAATACGCATGAAACGAAAAGCAGCACATGTAAAAAGTAAAATTTGCAATTTACCATAATCTACATAGTTTTAGGAACGTAGGAGCATAATGAAAAAAATTATAATAATACAATACATACATGCATACATACACACTCAACAGCAACTAAGAAGGCATTTAGTATATGCTATGCGTTTAATTGAAAAAGTCTGGGAAGAAAACAGCAGTAAATTGAATAAGAAAGTAATGCATACTTAGGTAAATGTGGCAACATCGTATTGGAGTCAATCGAAGTTTGGTAACAAATGTTTGAAAGGTTTAAAATATTAAAAATAAATGGGCGGAAGTAAAAACATTCCACTTTTTAAACTTTATAATTTTTAAATTTCTTTTTCATTACGTTTTCTTTGCAGTCTCTTTAAATCGTACAATTAACTAGTTGAAGCTAATTTATAAATTAAAAAAAAAAAATAAAATTTTTAGTATGTATTTTAAATTTATTTTCATTTTTGTAAAAATATAAGTTCTGGTGTTAATATTTTTTATTTCATAATTCCTAAATTTTCATATCAAATAAAACGTAAAATTTGAAAGATTTTTCTCAATAGAACCAAAAATTGTGTTATCTTTTTTGTTGTACAGATATTTACCTTCTACAAATGTGTGCTGTTACAACACATAATTTCTTTAGCAATCTCCTCATAAAACATCATTTTCGCCATAACCTCAAACATATTTCAAGCACAGAAAGCTATAATTTGAAAACTTTTGCATTATTAATTTCATTATAGATTCCAAACTCTAAACAAAACCTTAAGATAAGAAAAAAATTACCTCATACTTTTGCTACAATTTTACATATACATATGTATTTCGTTGTATTTTTGCTATAATCACTTAAAAAACTTTTCGATTTTTTTAGCCTCAAAATTTGACTAGTTTTATACATATGAATTTTACAGTTTTATATTTTACCTTAACCAGCTATTTAAATTCTGTTTTTATATTTTTTAAATTCTTAAATTTAAAAAAAAAATTATTATTTTCAAAACTTCACTTTGAATCTTTTTGAAGCTCAAATTTTTACTCCATTATTAAAAATGTTAAGAAAACATTCCAAACGCAATATTTTTTTCTTAGTGACATCTTAACACGCTCTCGGTATTAATTCTAACCTAAAAAATTTACTTTATTCGATATTTATTTTTTTAATTTTAAAATTTACGCGAGATCTATTTTTATCCTAAAATCTGATGTACTGTAAATGCATACATTTTGCTATGTTCATTTTCTATAAATTTCTTTCCCCATTTTAATCGGCCTCAATTTCATGCACTTTTAATGACTCATATTTCATAAATATGTATGAAAAACATGAGTACCAAACAACAACCAACCAACCTAACAACAAATACCGACATACATACATAAGTATGCATATTTACAGAAATTATGCAAAAAGCAAATGAAAGCAGAAATAAAGTATTAACATTAAAAAAAGTAATAAAATAAAAATTAATGCCGGTAATAAAAATGCGAGAATAAGCAAATATTACAGCCGTATACTACAAAAACGGTATTCATGAACCAGTATGCGGGGTAATTGAATTATAACACACATGCATATAGTATTTATAAAAATATATAAACATTTATATCTTAATGAGTTTAAGTTTATAATTAAATAATATTCAATACTTAATACCAATAAAAGGAGAAAAAAATTATAATATAAAAATCAACCAACAGCAACAGCATTGAGAACATATTAAATATAAAATATTATTAATTAAGAAAAACAATGAAAAGGCAAATAACAAAATAATTAAGTAAAGGCATAATAACAAAGCAAAAGGAACAACAACAAAAAGAAAATACAAAAAAACCAGAAAATTTGCAAACGCTGTACTTTGCAGCAGTTAGGAGCGGAAATTGAAAAATAAGAATTGTAAGTTTAAAAAAAAAATTATAAAAAAATTGCAAACCCTTTAATAAAAACAGTATGATATAATCAACCAAAAATGTTGTTGGATTATTGTGAAACGTTCTTAATTTTTTTAATTTTTTGTTTGGTAAAACTATTTTTTGGTGCGCTCAGAAGCTCAAAAGGCATAGTTGTTACCACAGTCTGGATCAATGAAAAAAAGTACTGAGCGGCAAGATGTCGACATTCGTAAGGTTTTTCAAATGGAATCCACATTCTTTCCGCAACATAAATGCGTGCAAATGGCGCACAGCATCGTTTGGACGCTGCGCCAATACGCAATGTAGATTAAACAGATGCGATACACATGCGTTCCACAACGAATTCACATATAAACAGCGCCAGAAATAGTTAGGGTACTGCGCAAATACTTAAAATAAAATAATCGCGTGCAATCCACATACGTTCTACATGCAAATGAATACGAAATTTCAAAGAAAACACGCGAAAGCATTTAAAGGACTTTAAACATGTTTTTTGCGCTTTCAGAAGCTTGATTATGAAATAATGAAACTAAAATTTCGATTTTAGGCACATTTAAAAATATCATTTAATTTTCTTTCTTCCACAAGCTGCCAGCAGAGGATTTGACAGTGCGTATTAAAAAAAATTAAATTTGTTTATGAGAATGCTAGATTTTTTGTTTTTTTTATATTAAGGAAGTGGTCGAGCATTACGTTTAAAAAAATAATATTTTTTCCTGAAAAATTGCATCACATTCTCATTTATTTCGTCTCAGTTTCTCAATTCTGAAAATCCATGTTTTATTAAACATTTTCCCCTCTCTCTCTCTCCCACTCTCTTTCAGGCATGCTTCTACACCTGGGCTCTCACTCCTCCACCTCGAACTTGACGGCGTCAAATTCGTCCGCGCTTAGCGCCAACAGCAACAACAACGCCAGCCAACAGCAACCGAACAGCCTCGGCAGTTTGAGCAGTAGTGGCAGCATAACGGGGCTGCAACATCCGAACAGCATGTTGCATGCCCGCAGCGGCATGCGCGGCAACACCGCACTGCCCACGTCATATTCCGTGCCGAAGTCAATGTATAAGTCACAGCAGCAACAGCAACAGCAACAACAGCAATCACAGGCGGCTGCGCTGTTGGCAGCGCAACAGGGTCTCCAGGCGCTACTCTCGCCCTCGGCGTCGAGCCACAACAGCATTGTCAGCGGCGGTGGTGGCGGCGCTAGCAGCAGCGTCGGCAGCAACAGTAACTGCAATCAGAATAATAACAGCAGCAACAACAACAACAGCTATCCGCATGCCATGGACTGTGATCCGCCACAAATGCCGCCACCGTCACGTTTCATCGGCGGCACCAGCGGCAGCGGCGTTTCTCTGTCCAATTCCGCCTCAGCGTCTTCGTCCTCGAATAGCAGTAATAGTGGCAGTGGTGGTGGCAGCGGCAGTGCTGGTGGTAGTGGTCGCATGCGTTCCGCGCACCACACTTTTATCGCCCCACCACAGAAGCCACCACACGTCCAGCAAGCGCAGCAGCACCAACAACAACAACATCTCGCCTCTGCGCAGCAGCAACCACCTCTGCAGCATAACAGCTATGCGCCCAACTCACTGCCCGTCGAATTGGTACACCATCCATTGTCGTCCGCCGCCTCGCATCTCATGATGACCGATTCGAGCGTCATAACTGCCAGTGCGGCTGGCACCACATCCGGCCCGCCCTCTTATACGTCGTTGCTGTATCAGCAGCAACAACAACAACAGCAGCAGCAGCAGCAACAACAACAACAACAACTGCAGCATCAGCAGTCACAAGCGGCAGCTCACATGTACGCTTCGATGCCGACGCAACATATGATGTCCGTCGGCGACATGTCGCTGCAGCATCATCACCTGCAACAGCAGCAACAACAACAACAGCAGCAGCAGCAGCAGCAGCAAATCACACAACACCAGCGTCGTGGCGGCAGTGTTGGTGGCGGCTTTGGCGGTAGCAATAGTAGCCTGATTGGCGCCGGCGGTAGCGGTGGTGGGGGCGGGCTGATGGGCGGCAGCGGCGTCATGAGCGCCAGCATGTCAGGCGGTGTTGGTGCTGTTGGTGGCGGCGGCGGCGGTAACGTTGGTGTTGCAGGCAGTGTAGGTACAGGCGTTGGCGGCTCTAACGCGAACGGTCCAGATGCCTCGTCGCCTATGGTTGGCGTTTGTGTTCAGCAGAGTCCTGTAGTAATTCATTAGTTAGTTGATAATACATTAATGAACATACGAATGTATGTATGTGCGTCGGTACATTGTATACGAGTACATAGTATATGTATGTACATACATATGATGAAAAAATATATTTGTATTTATTTTAATGCGCGATAACAGATAGCGAAACAAGGCAACACTTGCACACACTGAAACACATGGCATTTACTTTAAATTCAATTGCTTAGTGTAACCGCTCACTATGACGCAAGATAAGCGAAGCGAAGCGAAGAGCAAGCAAAAAATGAAGTCAGAAAATGCTTAGCGCAAGCCGCTGTGTTTGTAAATATTAAAAAGGAACTATCGTTCTACATTTGTAAAGCATTTCGTATAAATGCACATATGTTCCACAAGAGTACAATGAGCTAATGAACGTCTTGATTTGCTACGTGTGGCTTTTGCGACATTTTTTAATGGAATCTACATGTGTTCCACAACGAAAACTTCCATTTGTTGCTTATCAACAGCTGCTTTGGCACTGCTGCAAGCTTTGCTAAGAGCGTTATTAAATTTCGCTGCAGAGTCTACATGCGTTCCACAGCGGTGGAAAGTGTTTTGACAGCAGAACGCATGTATGTGCTGTATATTAAAAACTTCGTGCGACTAACTTGAATTTCACATGCAATCCACATATGTTCCACATAAAATTTTTATACAACGCATTAGGCGCTATGGGGAAAGTGAAGAGAAAATTTTTGTATCGACGGCCACACCCACATCCCAATCCACTTTTGCCACAAATCAATTTTATACATATGTGAGCCAAAATTTTGGTTTTGTACATAATGTACACATCGAAGCTTGAGCATTGCTTATGGATTAAGATTTCATAGAAAGCGAATGGCGAATAAACAAACGTAGAGCGTGGTAAGTCCGCACTACATTTCTCCTACACACATAAACACAAACAGACCACATGCATATAGCTGAATACACTGAAATATTTATGTAGGTATGTACGATATGTGCTATCAACTGCCGGCAGCAAAAACCCTATACATACGTACATATGTTTTGTACATACATATGTTTATTGCGGAACGTTTGATTTAATTCAATTCGCTCCAACTTGACTACCTTTAATTAGTTTTAATTTAAATTTAAAATAATTCGAACATTTTTGTTGCCTGCCGTCTGCATTCTACATGTATATCGTAAATCATTTGCGTCTACCTAAACTTAATTTGACGAAAACAACCACAAAAAAAATACATATTGACTAAATAATTTTAGTTTTAATTATACTACCTACTTATATATTTAGTTTATTATTTGCATAATTTTATTTTGCGCTGTAAAATTGTAAATGCCTTATGGACGTCCTATTTTTTTTGTTCTCTTTTTTGTTATTTCCTTTTTTCGCTCAGCCAATCGACACTTCTTTACAATAAATTGTATTTTAGTGTAGTCTCGCATATAAATATTATTTTTCTCTTGCTATTTGTCAGTAAAAAAAAAAAATAGTTTGTAAAAACAGTGGAAGTAATGCTTAAATGGCATAACAGCAACAGCAACAAAAAAAACTAGAAAACTAAATTATAGAGAAAGGAAAAATATAATTATGTTTACGTGCGCAAAAATCTCTACATACATACATACATAAAAGCTAACTATTTAATTGCAATGCCTATATATATTACACGTACTATAATTATATATTTCGTTGGAAATATACAAATTTATGTAAGATAAGTTCCAAAAATATTCATCTCTTTGGTAGTTTCGTTTTAATTGTGCAAACGGGGTGGTTCTGTAAGTATGTGGATACACTGGTGGCAGAAATAATAGAAACGCCTTGTTTTGACCAGGTTTGGCTTTAATTGTTTTGTTTCTTTAAAGTTTAATATTTTTTTTATAAAACTCTTAACTCTTCGTATAAAAAAAAAACTGCAAATAAAGGTGCATTGCAAACTTTTCATAGAAATGATAAAAATTCAAGAAATTTGTACCAAAATTTTAATCTTTTTATTTAGAACGTTAATGTTTATGTATCAATTTTGCAGCCCATTCAATTTTAATAGAATAAGGTGCAAGTTTAAAGTGCCTACAAAATACCTTTGATTTTTTTCGCACAAGGAGTTGCGGTTTTCTTCAATATAAAAATAAATTGTGTGGATTCGTTATATGAAAACAAATGCGTAAAAAAATCTTGCCACGTGCTTGCACTTCATTCTAAAATTAATGGGCCCTGAAACAGCATACCTTTTTTTTAAATTCTGATTAAAAAGTTTAAAATTTTTGGTAAAAATTTGTTGAGTTGGTATAAAGCTTGCAATGCGCATTTATTTGCATTAATAAGTAAACAAAAGAAATACAGCCAAAACTGGTCAAAATAGGGCGTTTCAGTTATTTCTGCCAACAGTGTATATAGGGTGTATATACAGTGGTGGAAGAAATAATGGAAACTTTTTACTTTGACCAGTTTTGGCTATATTACTTTGTTTATTCGATGTTTAATATTTTTGTATAAAAGTCTAGCGCAATATATAACACACACCATATAAATCCACATTTCAAAGTTTGTACAAAAATAAACAATTGAAATGCGACGTATGCAACATTTTCGAATGAAATCCACTTGCGATCCACAACGAAATCACGCGGTATTTATACCCAGAATCGGTTGTGCACAGTACCAATAAACGTTATTTAAATATCAGCAATTTCTGGTGTGTTCCACATACGATCCACAATAAAAAGCGTTGGTTCCACTCAATGCGGCATGGCTATAGCATGTTAATACTCTATTTAGGTCGTTTATCTACATACATACATACATTCCACACAAGTACCAGTTGATTACGATCCTATTCAAAACACGGTAAATAAATTTTTATTATTATTGTGGCGTAGTAATATTTACTTTTAGCAGTTTTATTGAGCTTTGTACCACGATTTGTTTATTAGAAAAAATTTAAAACGCAACAAAATCTAAACGGTAGAAGTATAGCTGCTATTTCGGATATCACCACTTCTCCTCATCAAGCTTTTTTCTCTAGACTTCAGCAGGAGTCGAAATGTTTTTTGTAGCGCAAGGACATTGTTTACATCGCGGTTATGTGTAGGAAGTCTTCAATACTTTATGGATACTTTCCGCATAAAATCAAATGCGATACCCCAATACTAACCTATGAAGAACTTCGCATCTCTTGATCCACCAGCAACTGTGACCGCCTGTGACCGCGGGGTTGTTGTAGCCGCTACAGATGAGATCTCTAAGGCTGTTAGTCTCCACGTAGGCAGGACGCACAGCAGCACGACCGCTACGTTCGCTTTCGGAAACTCGCCATCATTTTAAGGGCAAAGATCTACTGAGACATCAAGAGTCCCTAACATTATAAGTAAAAGAGCCATAATTCAATATTAACGTTTCTTTTTCCAAGCACACGGTTCAATTCATAATAATTAATTAATTATTGTATCATGTTCCAAGCCTGGATTTTCAATCAATAATTTATTTTCTTATCTGTCGTTCGACAAGCTTATCAGTAATTCATAATTTTTAGAACTAGTAAGTGTAAGAAAAAGTATCATGCGAGCACAAAAAGGAGCAGCAAGTAAAAATTTTAATTACAAATCGAAAATTGTTTCACTCCACTTAGAACAGGACTTGTGCACGATAATGTTTCTGCAGCTTATTCGCCCTGCAGCCAAGCTTCATTTGCCATTTGGCCTGCACGCGCTTCATGACATGCAAATCACGCGCCTTACGTGCGGCCGCCTGTTGTTGCATATTACTCCAGCCCAACGCACGATATTCGCTGAGCACCTTATGCAAGCGACGATCTGATTTTTTGGGTACAAGAGCACGGCTCGGATTGAGGCGCTGTTTATAGTAGCGTAGCAGTGAACGATGACCGATTACAGCGCCGGAAGGCAAAACCAGTTGGTACTCATCGCCATCAAGCAGATCAGGAACAACTTCTTCGTCGACGTCCATACCCTCTTGCTGTTGAGGAGCAAATGAGTATATAAGGTACGGTATATAAGTGTTTATACCTATTAGCACTTACATGATCGGGATAACTGGAGCTATAATCATAGTAATCTGCATATTCGGCTAATGCCAAACCCTCATGCAGCAATTGGCAGTGTCCTTTGTCAACCATATGTTTGCGTACAGCATCTAATGAGTAGAATGTCTTGCCGCGATCGTTGCACCAAAGGCAAATAAAGTAGTTGGCCACTTTTTCGCCCAGATAGTAGAGTAAACCTTCCAAGTCAGTACAAAATTCTGTGTCGGGAATGAAGAAGGAGTGTGCGATGGACATGTGTTTTAGATTCTCAACCATATCTTCGCTGACGTGCGTGCAGAATAGGCAATCTTTTTCGGTCAACGGATTGTCGGGCAACTTCTCCCACTCGTCTGAGTCAAACTGTTCAGTCTATAGTACATGAAAAAGAAACGTTAAAATTCAATTAATTTAGATATACGAGTTTTGTTTACCTCTTCAACTTCCACATCCTCAAAGTCTTCATCGTCATCCATATCTTCGTATTCATCATCCTTTTGTTCCTTCTCTTGCTGACGCTGCAATGCAAATCGACCCTTGCCTTCTGCTGCTGCAGCTAACGCTGGGTGTGGTTTCTGCTGCACAACGCTCTTTTTGGTGACTTCCACTTCCTCATCCTTGTGCTCACGTTCGAAGCGCAATAGATTATCTTTGTGTTTCTTGCTATGCAGGTGATTGTCGTGCGCCTTCTGGTTGCCAAACTGCTTGCGGCATGCGTTGCAATAGAAGCTCATTTGACTCTCCTCCTTTTCTATTGCCTCCTCCTGACGAATACGCAGCACGCGTTCTTGGAAGGCTTCTGCGGTAACTGGTGGCAATTCAGCAACACGACGTTTCAGATTGTACCGATGCCAGTCAGTTTTGTAATGGTCTCTCTGCATATCCGCTGAAGGGAATTTTACGCAGCAATTTATGCATGTATATGCTGACATTTTGACTTTGCTAAATGTTTCACTAATTTCCTTCGTATAAAATCTATTAAATTTTTCTTAAATTTAATTAGAAAGCAAATTATTTCACAATTAATCACAATTCGCAATTGTACCAGAAAAATGAAAAAAAAAACAGACACGTTCTGCGAAAAAGATGACAGCTCTTTAGCGTTGCCACATAACCGCAGTGAGAATATTAAATGTATCAGGCTTAAATTTGTAAACAAAATTTCAGTAGCGAAATTACGAGCAATTTTAGTAAAAGTTTTTTTTTTTGTTTTCCAAAATGAAATTTTCAATGTTCGCTATGAACAAAAAAACTGCAAAGGAAATCTAAACGGAAAATTTGAAAAATCACCCAACAAAAAGTTCTCCGTTCTCCATCAGTTGACAGTGGATACATTTTTCGGCTGTTGGTAAAACTGGCGCCTAATTTAAATGTTGACCGCGTTTATTGATGAAAAAAAATTAATAAACGATAGTTTAGTGAGAAAGGTGCAAATAAAAAGATGCTGAAGTGAAATAAAAAGTAAAAGTGTAATATATTATTAGCAATTAAGGAATCATGTAGTAAAGAGGTGCTAGCTAAGATGCTTCAAAGGTAGTAGTTTCGGCTGGTGCTACGGAGTCACGGTAATGGAGTAGCGTTGTTATCCTTAGTTGAAAGTTAAGCAGATTTGGAAGTATACAATTCCCTAACATCACTGTACAAATACATTTCAAGGCGGGTAAGTTCACACTTTTCTTTATATTTTCCATAATAAATTAATCTACAAGGCAAGGTATGTGTATATTAACATGTACATACATACATACATATATAAATAAGTACGTATGATAGGCAGATGCACATTCAAAGTCAAACTTTCTGTTTGTATACACCTAATCCTACTCCTCCAACACATTATCCAGCCACTCTTGTATATCATCCTTGTTCACCGCTCCATTTCCACTTCCTTTTGCGTCAGGTGCTGCTACATTTTCTGCACCACCGCCACTACCATCAGTTATTTCCACCTTCGTCACAGCGGCCGTGGTCAAATTTAACAATTCGTCCAGCTCATCTGGAGCATTGCTTTCACTTTGTACAGCAGCAGCAGCAACAGACGCTTTACCACTATTCTGTGAACGTCCTGATCCACTTTTTCGACTACCACTATTAATTTTTATGCGTGGATTTGTTTCGTGCTCATGCAATACATTCTGATAGTTTTTCTCAGCCGCCTCAGCAGCTTTCTCCATTGCTGTTAACTGTTCTCGCGTAAACATAGAGGCAGCATAATCCATGCGCTTATAGAATGGTATCGTTTGCAAGCCAACATTTAGCAGTTTCAAGTTGAGCGTAAAATATTGACTGGCCTCTGTGTTATCCAGCAATTGTTCGCCCTCTGTGGTTTCCCAATTCTTCTCGGAGGCAAATTGAAAATGACCACCCACAGATGTGGGCAATTGTGCCATTAAACCAAAATCACCGGCATGCATTTGTGCGGATTCCACTTCATTTAGATCGTTGTCTTCATCGTCCAGTGAGTAACGTCGCGTTTGCGGATGTGGCCGGGAACTGGTCCAGCCCCGTCGTGAAACAAAACGTTCATCACTGGAATCTGCTACATCGACTACACCACGCACTACCTCAACTTGTGAACTGGACGAGGTGTTGTTATTGTGTTGTGTTGGCGGTTTCTTGCGATATTGCTTCATTTTGGTGCGCTTTCTGTAAAATTTTACCCTCTTAATAAAATGATGACTTCATAGATGTTACGTTGCAATTGCATTATACTCACTCTTTCGATCGATTGTCCTTGCTTTCCATAGTGATATCCTGTTAAAATTGCCTTTGATTATTTGTTTACGTTGCTAGGGTGATATGTTCGATTTGTAAAGGCATGTGGCCAGAAGAGTATGTTCACGTTAATAGTTCAACAGCTGATTTGCAGTAATACGCTCAAAGAAAAAAATTTTAAATTAAACAACAATAGAAGTTTTAAATGCTTCCTGCAGTGGAATACTGACAATCGCCACGATAAATTTGGGTCGCGAAAATTCTCTAAATGGAAAGCTGTGGGGCCGAAAAATACAATATAGTAAGGATAAATAACAGCTACAATATGCGCTTTCAGTAATTTTGTAGTAAAGAAAAGAATTAAGTATCTACTATTAAGTATTAATCTATAATTTAAAACAAAGATTTCAAATTTGCGGGCACTAGCTTAGGTTAGGTTATATCCACTGCAAGACTTGGTGGGGACAATTAAGGTATAATTAGCTTTACCAGATAAATTACGACCACTTTGGCCAGCTAATCACTGTTAGCCTGGAGCAATGTTGAAGAATATCGCAGTCCTCTTGGCAAACTGGAACATCTTGTCTTACCCTACCTTAGCGACCTTCCATATTAGCTAGAAAACCTGCTCCCAGCAGACGAGTCCGCAGTCGCAGAGGATATGCGCCACGGTCTTCTCTTTCATTCTGCATATTTTGCAGATCTCATTATTGGTCTGAGCCAGTTTAAAGTTAGAACACCCACCTAGCCTAGCGTCCTCCGTCCTGAGGGAAGGGAGAAACTTTGTGAGCATTTAATATGATCTGCACATAATTCTGGACACCTTACAGCATTGACTTTTGTTCCAAGACGTCTGCGCCTTCCGGATCATGGGCAGGCCGAATTCTATCAGTATGGTTTCCGACAATGCATAATCTTTGGCAATCCTGTCGGCCTCCTCGCTGCCCACGACGCCGTTTTGCCCGGGAACCCAGTACACCATAGCTGTCATGCATTCCGCCATACTTCTAGAGGAAGTGCTGTGTGATATTAGCGCCTTTATCGCTGCCTGACTGTCAATATAGAGAATTACCTGTTTATTTGCTATATTGCAGTTCAGCCGCCCTCCTTGTGGCCAATACCTCCACCTTCGAAGTTCGTTTCAAAGTTCAGATCCGGGATCACATAGTCAATTTGTCCAAGTAAAGTTGACGCTATACTACTGTGACTGTAAGACCTGCACACAAACTGGCCCGTAGCATAGAGCCAGTCAGCAGTTTTTGACGCTTTATTCTTCGCCGATAGGTCCGCCGGCCTAGGTGTAAACTGCCGCTGTTGCTGTAGTCCTAAGTGCCACTGTCATGCTGATCATTGATAGCTCATATACACTTTCTATTCTATTAAGAAATGTTTTCTTCTCCATTGAAGTTCGAAATTGCGGAATGAACCCATAACGTCGTCATTCCGTTTAAAATGGCTTGAGTTGAGACATTGTGGAATGCCCCCGTTATGTCCAGGAAGATCCCGAAAACGAATTCCCCGTTCCCTAGAGCTACTTACATTCGCCTAACAACATTGTGTAGGTCAGTATCTACAGATCTTCCTTTCGTGTAGGCGTGTTCTGCCTTTGATAGGATGTATTCCTTTCCAGAGTCTTTTGAAGAAACGATATTAAGCTAACGGGCCCGTAATCCTTTGGGTATGCGTGACCACTTCTGCCCACTTTTGGCAGGAAGACCAGTCCTCAAAGACGTTGGCACGTAGGTCAGCCTGAAAAAGCCATAAAATATATTGCACAGCCAACCCTTGGTCTTCTGACCCACATTCTGCAACATCGCAGGAAAGATGCCGTCCAGAACCGGCGATTTATACTACGAAATTGAGCTCACGGCTCACTCCAGTCTGGAAGGTGACATCCGTCCTTTTATGTGGTGGATACTGCAGCAGCAGGTAGATCATCTGGATCCTCGGCCGCTGGGAAGTGTATTCCTTAGCCTTTCTATCTCACTGGAGCTTTCCATTCCACTACAGAAATTCCGCCATGAGTTTCTTTTGTCACTACGTACGGATTTCTTGTAGACCCTTAGAAGGTCCGTGTACTCCCAACACTCGTTAGAGTCAGTACATTTGCCTAGCCGAAAATTTTCCCTCATCAGTTTTCTAAAAAAATAGGTTCAGGGCTCCTCCAAGGAAGCTTTGGTCTTCCTTTAGCCTCCTTAACATCATTTACTATCGTTCACCCCTTTCAGGTCCTGAAAGAAGTGTCCTTTAGGAATTTTTTAGCAGAAATGGTAAAGGCTATATAAGCATGATTCTAGAAGGAGAGTCTGCCAAGGACCATCCATCCTGTCAGCTCGTCGCCAGGCTCATAACAAAAAGTTAAATCAAGAACGCTTTTCGACGTTGGTCCACTTATGTGGGAGCCTTGCCGCTGTTAGCTACGCTTAAGTTGCTGTGAATAAGGAACCAATGTAGGGTCTCACCTCGTTCATTAGTGGTGCGGCACTCCCATAGGGGATGATGTGCATTCGCTTCCGCGCCTATGACGACGTTCCGTCTAATGCGCTTCTCCTTCTCAACCAACCTTCTAAACTCCATGTGTGCCATGTAGCAGGACCCCATGACTACAACATCCTTCGAGAACTATTTTATTAATAAATTCCGTTTAAAATATGCACTTTTTTTGTAAACTTCGAGGTGGGTTCTGCGCAAAGATGCTATGGATAGCGTAGCCGGAGTTGAACTACTAGGGTTATTTTTTTTAAGCGCGACCAAAAACCGAACATGCTGAATTTTTATTTTGTAGCAAGTCATCCCGTGTCAAAGTTAGTTTACAAACAAACCCCATTTCGGCCAAAATATTTCATACAATTACCCTGTCGGAAGCAACAACAACAAAAAAGGAAGTGCAAATTTTACCCCATTTTCAAATGACTTTAAAGTTTTGAATGTATTTCTTCTGGTTCCAAAATTTATTTTTTATTTGGTTGACGAATCAAATCACAAATAAATCTTATTTTTTTATATATCCGAAGTATGAATCATAAATCAATTTTATTCATGAATTCATTCGTCGAACAAGTAATAAGTTTATGTAACTAGATTATTTCGGATTCGTTATAACTTGTAATTCAGAAATCAATTTTATTTTTGGATTTGGGATTTGAATAATTAAAAAGCACACAACCCTGCTTGCAAACAACTTGCTCGTTGGCCGCCGACCGCTCACTGATATCGCAGGGATAGAGTGGCCACGAGCTGGTACGACAGGCTGTGTAGCTAATGTACACATCGGGTTTTCATTTCAAAATGCCTACGAGTATAACTCCATACCAAGCCTTTAGGGCGTTATGGCTTTCAGCGCTTAGATCGTAATATACAACTTGTAGCTGAATAAAGTTCTGAGGCCCTGAAAAGCAGAACTTTGTGGAGTTCTACTCTACCTCATTCCAACCATTTCTTTCTACGATTCAAGCCGATATCCCTGATTCCAAAATGCGTATGGTCAGCGCCCACACATATCCTCTGGTTATCCGAGTCGTTGACTGGGCCAGAGGTCTCTGCAAGAGGTAGCTGCAGCTTTTAAGCTTTTTGCACACTCAATATTTATGTTGGACATTACCTTATATATCCTAGTTCCTGACTCTATTTTTTTTTAATGACTCGACCGTTCAGGGTAACAAATTTTTTTTATAAAGCTTTCTGAATTGTGTAGTTCAAGAGATTTCTTGCCCATATTCTCGGCCTGAACGAAAGTTGAGGATTGAATTACGTACAAAGTACCTATAAAGGTTGTGCTCTACTTCGCGGGCAAGACAGAGTTTATTATGCGCTTTCAACCGTTGGAATGTGAGTACTGTGCAGTTAAGTGCAGTAGTAAAAAATAAAATCATTATTTAAACTAAAAAGCTTTTCTTTGCTTAGAGTATGAATTATTTTGAAAATATAATTAGTATAATATACATAAAATGCAGCACGTATGTATGTATGTGTTACATATAAATATAAGTACATATGTATTTGTTATTGCGTGAATTTTAAAGGAAATTTCAGTACACTGAGAAAAAGGATTAGTTTCGACAACTAAAGATATTTAGTT